ATACTGTATTTGTGCATTTGATTTTTTCTTTCCTACTTCTGTCTTCCTCAATTTTCATTCTGTTATCCATATCCTAATTATTTAGTTTATCAAGAACTACAGAGCTCCTGCAAAAAAGGTGGATGGCAATACTACCACCAGTAGTGTTCCTGAGTGAAAGTGCACTCTATGGAATCCCAGATTGCTTCCTAGGCACAATCAACTGTAGAAACAGGGAATGAACAACAGGCATGCAGTCTACCTGTCACCTGCCTACCCCAACTCTGAATTATATAAACTTTTTTAAAACCCATATTAGCCACAGGAAAAAATGGGATTAATTGTACATTATACAGTGTAAAATGAGATACAATCTCTGGAGTGCTTTGCCAAAACTGTGTTTGTTGACATGAACAGAATGGGCAATGTTTGCCCAAAGGAAGGGTGAAAAACTAAAGCTAAGTAAAGTGCCTTTTGGAAAAAGGTTTCCAATAGTTAAGATGCAGCATTTCAGACAGACAGGTAGTGACTGGGCAAGTATTCAGTAGGCAGCACAGAGCATCTACTTTCTATTTTGGAATAGAAGTTTCTTTTGATAGCCTGGAACACAGAAATATGATTTTTTCAACTCATTAAGGAAGCAAGCTAGTTGAGTCTTAACTGTTGGCTCAGTTTGACTTATCCATATGGGACTCAGCACATAAAAAGGTGAACAAAATCCTAACAGAATGCAGCAGCTGGTAAAAAGCCATTATATTGCAATTTTCATGAGGCTGACAGTAGGCCAAGAAACTACAAAATGGCAGAGAGTAGGAAAAACAGTTGTAACAGGTTGTACATTGTTGGTGATTATATTTTCAGTGGCAATGAAATCTATACTGAAATAAAGTAAATGAGAAGCTGGAAGGAGCAAGGCAACCTCAAGGAAGCTGAATTATGAAAAATGTAATGATTGCAGAGGAATTTAGTGGCAACTAGTTGCTATAGACTCATTTTGTGTAAGTTTTAACTATCAAAATCAAGGGCTTGGAGTTACCTAATAGTAGAATGTTACAGCTGAGGATTTAGCATTAAGTACTGCTTGATTTATGGTCTTATCAAGTGCTGTGTCACTGTAAATGTGAAATTGATGAGATAAAACATCCAAGCATTAAGGGGAAAACTGATAAAACACAAAAAGAATAAAGAATGCAGCAAATTTGGTTAACAAAGAGCATGCAGAGAATATAATTACACCACTTAAAAGGGATTGGGGGAAAACGACTCACTGCTTGGTCAGCTAATCTAGTGTAACTCTTTCATTCAGGGGTAAATTACTGCAGTTTAGCTTCCCTTGTGGCAGGTTAAGAGCAGACAGAGAAAACAATTACACCAGATTTAGTTGTACCAAGGTAAGCCTTCCACCAAGCACTTGCCCACACCCCTCACCAGTTGTTTAAAGTTGGGTAAATATTTGTCTGCACATATGCAAAGGAGGTATGAGAAGTGTGGGCATTTTGGTTTAATATGGAAAAGGAAATTATATAAATATTATGAAATACCTAAATACCTGCTAGACCTTTCTGGCAGCTCTGGTAAAGAATTAAAGAAACACAATAGAAACAATAATTCAAAGACTGATAAAAGGAAAGACTAAAAGCTGGAAAGCTAAGTAAAAAGAGGTAGCTTTGCTATGGGAAATAAAAAATGGTATGCAAGGACATTAAAAGAAAAAAGGAAAGAGAAACTTTTAACTAAGCAGGGGTAGTCTGAAAGCTGGAGGAGGGAAGAGATGGAAGAGGAAGGTCAGCAGGACTCAGAAATATCTCCACCACACATCTTTACTAAAGGTGTTCCTGTGCAACATATTGATATATTTAAGTTTTTAATAAAAAATATGTTTTGTTGCAAACTCTTAACAGTTGAGAAGATAATCAAATGAACCAAATGGAAGCAAAAGTAATGAGGAGTTAACACTGAAAACTAATAAGGACAGAGAAAAGTGTAATTTATTATATGGCCAATCATTTTTAGTATAAGCATTTGACATTCATCAACTACGGCTGCTGCTGAATGCAGTGGCAGACAGTGAGAGAGAGGCTGAGGAATACAGTGGAGGCTGTGGTTGTTATGAAGAATTGTGACGGTGAGATATGATTTTACACTTTTCCCACCAAAAACTGCAAGTCACCTGAAGATGGGATAGTGCCATGGGAAGAAGATCCATTCCTTTCCATAATTCCCAAACCCTTAATTGCTTCCAGAAAGTCAAAATCCCATATTTGACTCAGGCTAAGTACAGTGGTTCAAAAAACCGGAGGCAAAATAGATTCAATCTTCACAGTTTTTTCTAAGATGACTAGATTAAACCAGTAACAAACTGAGTTTACATTAAGTGTTTGGGAGGCCAAGACAGACAGAAGTCTGCAATGGCTGAGAACAGGAGCCTGGGGGTACTCATGTGCACTACCCTCATTGCTAGGCTGCCTAAGGCTGATGAACCCAGCTCAGTGGCAGCTCAGGCCTATTTGGCAGCTGGGGTCTGTGGGGTGCAGGGGGAAAACACCCATCAGGGGTCTTCCCCCTCACCATCAGCTCTGAGCTGGGCTGGGCTGGGCTCACCCCAACCCCTTCCCTTCTCTTCTCTTCCCCAGCCATCGTCTTTGACCAGGTGTTGCGGGGGGAAGGGATTGAGGGGGGAACGTATTTACTGTTCCACCCGTACTGCCCCCCCTCCCCAGCTGGGGTGTGTTCTGCACAGGAGGGAAGCACCCACCAGGGGGACTTTTCACCCTGATGCAGCTGGAGCCAGGGTAGCACCAGGCAGACCTGGGGTGGGGCAGGCTGGCATGGGGGTGTCGGAGGATAGTGCATTCCACCCTCTGCCCCCGCTGCCCCTCTTGGAGGTGACAGCTGAAGAAGGGATGGGGCTAGGGAGATCCCAACTGGGCTTGAGCTGCAGGGTGGGGGGGTGGAAGTGGAAAGCCCTCGCAGTGGGTGCTTTCCCATCTGTGCAGGGCAGATGTTGGCTGGGGGACCAATGTGGGGGAGGGGTTCTCACCCTCTGTTCCTACCACCCCTATTGGAGGCAGAGGGCTGGGGAAGGCACGGGGCTAAGGTGATCCCAGCCCAGCTCAAGTTGTGGGGGAAGGTGAAAAGCCCCCCAGTGGGTGCTTTCCTTCCCATGCCAGGCAGACCTTGCCTGCTTGGGTATGTTCACAGCCTGTCTCTCCCCTCCTCAGATGACTGAGGGGGTGGGTCTGAGCTAATCCCAGCCTGGCTGCAGGGGGGCAAGTGAAAAGCTCCCAAGTGTCGGCTTTCCCCTCCGCCCCAAGAACCCAGCTGTGGGAGTGAGTGCCAGGTGGGAGTGGGAAGCAGTACGGTCCCCCACTCTTGGAGGCTGAGGGTGGGGAGAGGGTAGGGCTGAGCTGATCCCTGACTGGCTCACTGGGCTTCAGGGGGGAGCAAAAAGCCCCCCACCACAGGGTCTTTTCCTCCCCTTGCGGTACAGCTCAGGGCTAGGAGTTTGGCGGTGGGGAAGGTCTGTTCCTCTGCCCCCAATTCCTCTGGACTGACAGACCCAGGCAAGAAGCAGACTGGGGAGCTAAGGCTTTAGTGACATGCGGCGGCAGGGCCAACCTGGCTGTGCTGGAGCAAACAGCACAGCCCACAGCTGCAAAGCATCCTGGGATGCTGGGGGACTGAGAGTTAACTTGAAATTAGGAAGGGATCTGGGACAGAAATTCCATAAACCATTTTAACTTATATCAGTTATGTCTGATACTACATCCAACCAGGTTTATCTTAAATCTGTTTCAGCCATTTTGAAAGTGGTCTATGTGCACTGAACTTCTGTTTTGTTACAGGCTTAAACCAGTTTCCAATTACTTAAACTGGTTTATTTGTAAACTCTGTCCCTAGCCTGAAAGACTTAACTGTTTCCAACTGTAAAAAAAACCCTCCAGCTTTCCTTTGACAAATATTCTTTACTGATATAAACATCTGCAAAATTAAAATTTAAGAGATCAGTGAACACGTTTGATATATGCTGCACTACTACATGTTATATTATCTGGTCTGACATTCCCCTCAATAACACCTCCACTTTGCTGCTGGCATTTGCTCCAGAGCAAGGTCTAATGCCTTGGTGAAAATAGGAATTAGGCAGCCTGTAGCTGGAAAGACACTGTTTGAGGTTGGTAGGCTGTCTATAAACAGAGATGGGCTTGTCCCCCAGGGCTACCTTCAGACTGTTGTCATTTTCCAGAAGGGGGTCCAGTTGTACCCCTTCATCAACAAAGACCGCATTATCACTGGACCAAATAACACAGATTATAACATCTTGAAGTCTGTTCAACTGCTCCTCTACCAAAGTTATGTATTCCATCACCTGCTTAGAGTGCCCCTCTGCTGTCTATATTGGACAGATGTCTTATGTGAAAGAATGAATGAACACTGATTTGACTTAAATTCCATGAAGATAGACAAGCCTGCGGTATAACACTTTAGCCTCCCTGGACATTTCATCACTAAACTCGGAGTACCTCCTCTTAGACCACAAAACCAACCTGAATGGGAAATTGCAGAACAATAAATCATTGATGGACAGAACTGTGTTAAGTATGGTTTAAAGCAGTGGTGCCCAGCCTTCTGGCCCCTTAGGCCAGATGAGTGGTGTGAGAGTTGGTCCACAAACTGGTTCCCACATGGTATTGTACACATCTGAAAGATTCAAATAGGAATCACATGGTCCAATGCTTTATTAAAGGTTTCAGGTGACCCTTATAATATCATGAAAAGCAATTTGGTTTATCATACCTGTACACATTTACTGTTTTGCTTTGTTTTTTTGAAATGGCATCCCCTGATGTTTTCTGTAGTATTCAGGGCAAATTTTGCTTCTTTTGTCCTTCCATTTAAATAACAAGAGTTATATAAATTGCTTAACGATTTTATCCTTTTACAATTGCGTTAAGATGGAATAAGGAAAAGCACAGAAATAAGAACTGTAAATAGCCATAGTCAATATTATTTATACTTACTTGATATAATAGGGCACTTTGTTTGGTGAGATTGCCCTCTCCCAGGGACCCTGGACAGAAGCTGTTAAAGCAAACAGACAAACAAACAAATAAATAAAAGACAGATGTGGAGGTCAAGTTCAAAGCAAACAGGAAAGACAACATTAATCTTCAGAATTACAATTTTACACTCGGCCACACTGATATGGGTCTGTTTGCTCAGTTGCCCATGAAGGCAGGAAGGATTAACCTGCTGTTCTGAAATTTCTGTCCTAATCTGAGTGAAATTGAACTCATTCAGCTGCAAAGATAAATGCAAAAACCTCCTTGACAGCTAAACTTAAAGAAGAGATAAGAAGCTGAACAAGCAGCCTATCTGTTTTATTGGTGTGTTCTTTTATGGGGTTCCGCTTGCTAATGCTTTCTGTGCTTTCTGCTGTTTTTTCTTCCGTTTCCTAGTTGATCCACTGTTTTCAACTCTCTAGGAACAAAATTACACCCTTGTTTATGCTCTATTTTGAATGAGGCTCAACTAAGACACTTACCAGCCCAGTGTGTTGTTTATTTTCTTGTTTATTTGTTTTAAATAGAGACCAATTTCATTTTTATTTCCTACATTATTAAATGTGCATGTGTTTTATTGGCTTTCAATAATGGCAAGCAGTGGAGAAATACCAGCATGATCACACAAAAGTGTTAAAACCAAAAGAGAATAGCACTACATAATAGCAATTCTCTCAACCTAGACTAGCAGAGCGTTAAAAACCAACATCAGCTTACAGTAGAGGGGAAGTCTTTTATAGCAAAATTTTTTTTTTTTAAATAAAAAAAGACTATGGCAAGACATAATTTCAAATAATGAAAATTCATTATCCAATAACCATTGCCATGTGGTCTGAGCTTTAATCTAAAAGTTGGAACAACTCATAGATGTTAGACTCAGTATTATTTTTTACATCTCTGTTTGATGGTGTATCCCCTTTCTTTACACATAAGACCTTCTGGGCCATGTGACCATCCTATGATGATCCATGCTGTTTGTCTAGGAAAGTTATGGTTACCTGGACCCAAAACATAGCTAACTGTTTGGTTCAGCACTTTTATCCCTGATTATACCATCACACTGCTAACAGGCACATGCTTTCATTTTGATGTATATGTTTAAAGAATGCCTATTCAAAACTATAGGGGCTTTAGCAGATTTAAAATAAAGATGAAAAATAATCTACACTTCACATAACTGCAGAAGTTACCCAGCGAAATAAAACCACACCATCCACCACCAATGCACCAACCTTCTGTGTCTCACCGCACACAAGGAACTCAATAAAAAAAAGAACACTAATGAAACAAGTTAAAGGTTCTAAAATCTACTTAAAAATAGTTACATGGAATTAGAGCATCATTACATGACTGCAAATAAATGGATAAAGAGGAGGGATTTAAAAGAAGGCCAGAAGGTTTTATGGAACTCAAGATGAGGGAGACAACAATCAGATGGATGGACAGCGTGAGAGAACTTGTGACAGTCTGAAAAGGAGAATGACAGGCAACCAAATAGGAGATATAGATTAGAGCAGAGGGCAAAGAGTTTGGAATAGACTTAGATGGCCCTGAGAAAATAGTGAAGAAGAATTTGGGGGTGAGAGAGGGGAGGATGGTAGAAGGGGGAGGGAACGAGCAGATAGGAAGGAAAATGAATTTGGCGAAAACAGTTTAGATAAATTGAAGAGTTATGGCACAGCTCCATCAGTACACACCTTTCCAGAGCCATCACTCATTCTCCTTGCACTCCACAGCATCTGCAGAAAAAATTATGGATGCCTTTTCCATGGATGGAGAAAGAGTTTGATGCATTCTCTTCCTATTACGTACTTTCATATTGTTTGCCTATTAGACATACCCAGTTAATATAAATGCTTGGTGCAGATAGCATGGTGCAGTTGAGAAACTGCACACACTGAATGTTGAGGGTAAAACACTTCCTCAAACACAGTGCCCATCCTGCACTTGGAATGGTTGACTTTTGCCATCCTTATTTATGTTGAGTAGCATGTTAGTGCAGAAGAATCGCATTACTTTCAAGTTGCATGAAATCAGGCAGTAATCACTGTGAATATGGAAAGTAGAATTTGGATATCAGTGAAGTTGGCTCCTGCAGAAAGTATCATGTGATCATGCATTTGAAATGCATAACGTATATTTACATAGAAAGTAAAGCTCCAGCATATATATGTATACATATTTGCATACACATATGATTAAGCATATTTATACATTGCAGTATATTATTTAGACTGTAAATTCTTTATAGCAAGGATCATCCTTTTATTTTGTGTTTGCATACATTTTAACACAAAAGTCTACATTTTTGGCCTAACACTATGGTTCAGAGATGCTTTGCTGTTTGTGATGGCAGGAGTAATGGTGAAAGTAGCAATAACAATATTAATAGTAATATGATATTTGCCAACTTCCCAATATCTACAGCATAAATTAATGTTAAAGCATAGAGCATTTTTCAATTCACTTGGCTTCAAAAAGCATCCAAAGCTAATAATGCAAAATGCCTTGTACTATCTATAAATATGAATTAGTAGAATATAATTCTTCTTACCTCACATATTTGTGTTGCAAATTATCTCTCTTAGACAATGTTAGTTTTTAATTTTCCTATCTAAGGCTAATGGATGGTATATAAACTGGTTTTAAAATATTTTGTTTACTGAGCCAGTATTTTCAAGGATTTAAAGATATTCCAAAACTACATTAATCTGAGGAGTCAAGTTACCTTTTAGGGAATAACAGCGCATTAAAATAATAACAACCCCCCGACCCCAAATCACCCATTACAAATTACTTCCCTTTTCCCTCCTGCTATCATAAAGGCTAGTAAGCTACTACACCAAACCAAACCAAACCAAACCTTAGCTTTCATAATGGCAATACCTCTTAACTACATTCCATAAAAATGAAAGCAAATTCTAGTGATTTGTTTACTGAATACGTTAAGATTAGGATGAGTTTGCTACAACCGATCTGGAAGGGGAGTGTTTTTCCTTCATAGCAGAATTAATCTGGGCAACAGTTCTGCAGTGGTAACTTATTATCCTAGAATCTTTCATATGATAGTATTCTTGATCCATTAAAATACACAAAACAAAACAACAGCAACAAAAGGAAACCAAGAGCAGATAGTCTGCTTTCATCAAAACTAAGTGCTTTAGAAATAACAAACAATTCTATGATGTTCTGCATAATTGGATTTAGTGCTCCTTCAAGAGATTTTTGTGAGGCTGTCTGTAATATGGTTTTTGCTTTCCTGGATGATTCCAGTCTTGCATAAATTTGCGTTGACAAAATATGTGGTACCTTTTACAACTGTGCTGTGAGAATAATCATCACATTTCTGGCATAAGCCCAAACGTTAAGAACAGCTGTTTCTTATCTCTGAGTACCAGTAGAGGTTTGCCATCCTTCACAAAGCCAGTGTAGGTAATGGACATATATCTTTAATTCCTGGTAAGACTAGTTTAGTACTCTATGAAAGGAGACTTTCTGGAAAATGATTTTTATATGACATGATAGCTTCCCTGTGTATTAGTGGTACCCAAGAAATAGAGATTTCCCTATTTGCAAAGTGCAATTCAGAAGTGCTTTATTGTTCTAGTTCTACATAGTGTAAGAACCCATTATCATACACACCAGCTATCTGCAATGTTGACTACTGAAATTACATAGCACGGCAAAAATGATTTTTTAAAGTGGATTTAAATCTTCCTGCAGTCCATTAGCTTTGCTACATGTTAGTAATCATTTTAACGGTTGCCTCTTTTCAGTTTTATTTTTCTTCCTGTGATGTACTAAAATCTAAAACCTACCTTGTCTGTTATTGTTCAACTTAAGTGAACATAGCCCATGCTGGTCAGCTTAAGCATTTTCAGAATGCATATTCTAAAAACAGCGTTCTGGGCTTCTGTGCAGCAATATTTTAATCTATGCAGGGGTCTGACTAGAAAGTTATATACGATGATGGCATCATTTTTAGCTGTGTAATAAATGCAATTCAAAAATAACCTCATAAATATTCAGTGTAGCTATACCACTAAGAAAATAATATATGAAAGTCATGTAAATTTACAAAAGGTTAACTGTGCCCCTAAATAGTCTGTACCAAGCTCAGTTCAAACCAATCTAATATAAATACATGCAAAAACTATTCTCACAGACCATGCTGTTAAGAAAGTCCACCCTCACATCCACCCTGACATGGCCTCAATTTAAGTTTTCAATTCTAAGTACAGAGAAAATCATTGGCATCTGTTATCTCACAGAAGTAGTTATGGGTAACAGCAATTTTGATGGAAAACATACCATGCCTCACTTCATCCTACCATGTGATTTCCAGGCTGTTTTCCTTTCTAACTTTCATTTAAGTTACCTCCATACAAAGCTTGGGTCTGGACTTACACATATACTCTGAGTCAAGACTGGTGATGTTCACCATTTAGCCATTCTAGCTACATTTTAGCAAAGTTCATAATATGCACCTAATTTTAAGTATATAATTTTAAGTTGGAGTCAATGAAACTATTATAAATAACAGAAGTTGGAGTCAATGAAACTAGTAGTAGTACTGTACTGAAAGGAAAACTGTACTACTGCTACTACTAGTTTCATTGACTCCAACTTCTGTTATTCTTTTACTGAGGATAAATTATTAATAATTATTATTTTGTTCAAATATGCAGCTACTAATTTTTTTTAATCTCACACCTCTTTTAATACTAGTTTAATCATTTGCTTAGTTATCATATTTGTGGCTTCCAGTAAAGCCTGATAGGGTGCAAACAGAAGTGACAATTTTTGCCCAATCTGGCCACAGTAAGCAATTTATAGCTGTGACCTAACAAAAGTGCACAGCTACAGACAGCTTCTAAAATGGCCGATCAGGTTAAAATCTGACCCAGCATTGCATAAGGTATCATATAAAGATGTTTCAAAGTGGAGTGTCTTTTATAACTTGTGCCTACAGAGCTCCCAGCTGGCTGCTGTTTTCAGAATGGGAGGGGTGAAAGGGAA